AATCCACATTACACTTTCTTGAGTTATCATCGTTTATCTTCATCCCATTATGCCTTTGTATCATCTTTGTCCTCCATTTCCATCCCTAAGACTACAGGAGAAGCACTTTCTCATTCTGGATGGAGGCAGGCTATGATTGATGAGATGACTGCTTTACATTCGAGTGGTACTTGGGAGCTTGTCTCCCTTCCTTCAGGTAAGTCTACTGTTGGTTGTCGTTGGGTTTATACGGTCAAAATTGGTCCAGATGGTCAAGTCGATCGGCTTAAGGCTCGCCTTGTTGCCAAAGGGTATACTCATATATTTGGGCTAGATTATAGTGACACTTTCGCTCCTGTGGACAAAATAACATCAGTCCGTCTTTTTCTATCTATGGCTGTCGTTCGTCATTGGCCTCTTCATCAGTCGGACATTAAAAATGCTTTTCTGTATGGTGATCTTGAGGAAGAAGTCTATATGAAGCAACCACCTGGTTTTGTTGCTCAGGGGGAGTCTAGAAGCCTCGTATGTCAATTGCGTCGGTCACTCTATGGTCTGAAACAGTCTCCTCGAGCTTGGTTTGGAAAGTTCAGTACAGTAATTCAGGAGTTTGGCATGACTCGTAGTGGAGCTGATCACTCTGTGTTCTATCGGCATTCAGCACCAAATTTGTGTATTTATTTGGTTGTTTACGTTGATGATATCGTTATCACCGACAATGATCAAGTTGGTATCGCTAATTTGAAGCAGTATCTCTTTCAGCATTTCCAAACTAAAGACCTCGGCAGACTGAAGTATATCCTAGGTATTGAGGTTTGCTCAGTCTAGATCAGGTATTGTTATTTCTCAACGCAAGTATGCTTTAGACATTCTTGAGGAGACAGGAATGATGGGATGTAAACCTATTGACACTCCTATGGATCCGAATGTTAAACACCTCCCAGGACAGGGGGAGCAACTCAGTAATCCTGAGAAGTATAGACGGTTGGTTGGAAAGTTGAATTATCTCACGGTGAGTAGACCGGACATCTCTTTTCCGGTGAGTATCGTAAGTCAGTTTATTACTTCTTCGAGGATCAAGGCCATGAGCATATCACCGGATATACAGACGTTGATTGGGCAGGATCACCCTGTGATAAACGTTCCACATCCGGATATTGTGTTTTAATAGGAGGTAATTTGGTGTCATAGAAGAGTAAGAAACAAAGTATGGTTGCTCGATCTAGTGCAGAAGCAGAATATCAAGCAATGGTTGTAGCAACTTGTGAGCTAGTCTGGATCAAACAGTTGCTTGGAGGACTGAAGTTTGGAGAAACCGGTCATATGGAACTTGGGTGTGATAATTAAGCAGTCCTTCATATTGCATCAAATCCAGTGTTTCATGAGAGGACTAAGCACATTGAGATTGATTGTCACTTTATCAAATGATCAACTTGCAGATATCTTCACCAAGTCCCTCACCGGTCCTCGTATTAATTACATTTGTACATATAATTTTGGTATTTCCATTAAGAAGTTAAGCAGTGATAATTCCCGAAAAATACTTCACTGCTTCTCTCTCTATTCTTTCATGTCATCCAAAGGCATATTGCACTTGTCTTAGTGTGCACATGCTACTCAACAAAATGGAGTTGCTAAGCAAAAGAATAGACATCTAATAGAAACAATGTCAACATTGCTCATTCACAATCATGTCTCTTTACATTTCTTGGATGATGTTATTACTGCTTGGTATTTTTCCAATCCTATGCCTTCATCTATTTTGCGGTTTCAAAGTCCTCACTCAGTCCTATATTTGGACCAAAATTTGTTTCCCCTTCTTCCACCTGCGGTTGGTTGCACCTGTTTTTTTCATAACCTTACCCACAAAAAAATAAAACTTTAGCACAAGGCTTTTAAATGTGTCTTTCTCGAGTATTCCCATCTACAAAAAGGTTTTGAATCTCTACCAACAAGTACTTATCTCTACGGATGTTAAACATTATTCGAGACTTCTCTACATTTTTCTCCTAATATGAAAAATCAAAAGGCCATATCAGTCCTTGTTCCAACCCCAGCTCCACCTCTAACTCTTAAGGTCTATCCTGACGACCTCAGCCTTTTTTTCAGCTTGCTAATTCAGTTAGTATTTCTAGCTCTATTCCAATTACACAAAGCAATCCCAGTGACTTATTACCTAGTCCAACAATGTTTTCTGCTTTGGTCGAGCACTTATCAAATGATCTTCCCATTGCTCTTCGCAAAGGTACTAGAACTACTATCAATCAAACTCATGTTAATGTTTATTCAAGTTATCATCATCTGCTACCTTCATATCATGCCTTCATCACTAGCTTATCAACCGTCAAAGTTCCCAAGACGTCTGTGGCAAAAGCAATGGTTCATCCAAGTTAGAGTCGGGCTATGATTGAAGAGATGACTATTTTGCATGATAATGGTACGTGGGAGCTTGTTCTTTTACTTGATTGAAGGCAAAACCACAATAGGTTGTCATTAGGTATTCACAGTTAAGGTAGGTTTGGATAAAGCTATTGATCGTCTCAAAGCGACAGTGGTTGCTAAGGGATACACTCAAAATTATAGCATCGATTATGGAGATACTTTCTCACCAGTTGCTAAGATGGCTTAAGTCTATCTTCTCATCTCTATGGCAATAATGAATCATTGGCCCCTCTTCAGTTGTACATCAAAAATGCATTCCTGCGTGGAGAACTTGTTAAAGCAGTATATATTGAGCAACCACCCAAGTTTGATGCTCAAGGGAAGTCTAGACCAGTTTGTAAACTTTGTCGATCTCTATGGTCTCAAGTTGCCTCCTAGAGCATGGTCCGGTCGTTTTTGAGCCGTTGACCAACAGTTTGGAATGATCCGAACAAAAGTTGATCACTTTGTTTTCTATAGGCATTCAGCTCATGGCAAACATATCTTTTAATTGTTTATGTTGATAATATTGTTATCACATAAGATGATCATAAGGTATTGCTAAATTCAAACAACACCTCTCAAGTCACTTTTAGACTAAGGATTTAGGCAAGCTGAAATACCTTCTGGGAATTGAAGTGGCACAATATGGCCATGGAATTGCTATTACACAAAAATATGCCTTAGACATTTCGAAGACATTGGTATGTTGGATTGCAAACAACTGGGCAGTCTCATGGATCCAAATACTAAGCTTATTCCAGAACAAGGGAGCCATTAAAAGATCATAATAGATATCGGAGACTTGTTGGCAAACTCAACTATCTCATGATCATGTGACTAAACATCTCATTTGTTGTTAAGTGTAGTGAACTAGTTTTTGCAATCACCTTGTGATAGTTGTGAGTCACTGGAATGTAGTGATTCGCATCCTGTGATATATCAAAAGCTCTCCGGGACACGGTTTATTGTACGAAGACAAGGGACACACCAACATAATTGGATATTTTAATGCAGATTGGGTGGGATCTCCTTTTGACAAGTAGTCCACTTCAGGTTATTATGTTCTAATTGGAGGCAATCTAATATCTTGGAAAAGTAAAAAAGAAAGTTGTTGTAGCTAGATTAAGCGCAGAAAGAGTATTGAGCTTATGTGGTTGAGACAACTTCTCCAAGAATTGAAAATGGGAGGAGTTAAACCGATGACATTGATTAGTGATAACCAAGTTGCACTACATATCACTCCTAATGTCGTGTTTCATGAAAGAACGAAGCATGTTGAGATAGATTGACACTTCATTCGAGAAAAAATAGAGTCTGATACATCGCCACGAGTTTTGTCAACTCAAAGGATTAACTGGCGGATATTTTCATAAAATCACTTTGAGGATCTAGAATTAACTATATTTGTGGCATACTAGGAGCATATGACTTACATGTTCCAACTTGAGGGGGAGTGATAATTATGGTATAATTGAATAGTGTAGATATGAGAATATTTAAAGATGGTATAATTAGATAGTGTAGATATGAGGATATTCTCTAATCCCTTCAATTAGGCAGTTAAACAGATTATGTAATATTTTATTAGTTTCTTTCCTTATTTACATTATTCGTAACAACTATTCAATTCCATCAACATGAGAAAATAATCAACGAATTCAATTCCCAATATCTCCTCCTCCTCCTCCTCCTCCTCTTTTTCTTATTCTTCTTCTTCTTCTTCTTCTTATTCTAATTTCTCAGAGTTAAATAAGTTAAATTTGACATGTACATAATATTTGCAATAATTGGGCAAAAATCAAGGTTTTTTTAGAGAGTCTGAGATAGAAAAATCAAATCCAAATTTAAAATTTGAATATTAAAAGGAATTAGATTCTTGAAATTTGTGAAACTTATAGAAGAATAATGCCAAAACTGGAATAGTGTAACTTTTTAGAACATCCAAAGTAGGAGTATCACACAATTTAGGGCAGATAGGTCATTATTCTATACAATTATCACAAGTTTCAAAATTTTACATCCCTGATAAATTAAACTTGGATACATTGGTTTTCTCTCAAACTAATTTCTTAACAATCACTTGGGTATTTTTATCTGCCACTCATATATTAGACGAGTCAAAGTTAAAAGTTCTACAATACATGCTCATTCAGATAATGTCAAAAGAGATGGATTGGATTACGTATTGCTAGAAAAAATAACTCATAAAAATTCAATCTTCCTATGTTTTCTCCCTATAATCTACCTTTTCCAGCTTCCATCAAAATAAAATAGCACCTAAACAACTTCTCCTATTTTTTCCATTGCTTAGTATCTTAATCATATTCCAGATATCAAAAATCTCAGAAACACCCCATTACTACACTGAATACTTCACCCCCAAAAAAAGTGAGAACAGGAAAATATCTTAATTATGAGGTTCTCGATGTAAAAAAAAAAAAGACTAGAACAAACAGAAATTAGGAACTCGAGAACGAAACAACAAAAACTAAAAGAAAAAAAAAAAAAAGGGAAAAGCACAAAATTAATACCAATAACTAAGAAGAATGAAGAATATGAAAAAATATGTACGAGGAAAATAGGGTTTAGGGTTTTACATGGAAGCAGAGAGATGATGCTGTAGCTACTTCTGAGGTGAATCCAGTGGCCGTTGGAGAAGGCAAAACGAATAAAATAGTCTCTCTACATTTATATACCTTTTTGCTTCTTTCGTTTTCTTAATTTTAATTTAATAAATTTCTAAGCATGAATATATGAGGCAAAAAATATTCAATCTTGATTTTTTTATGTTGAAATACATCTGACGTGATAGATATGGTAGACATCTTTAAAGATAATAACAAACATTAAATCGAGATCCAAATAAAGATAAATATTTTTCTGTCATTATTTTATGGGGCTTAAAAATATTTTTTGTCATTGAATCATCCGAAAGAAAGATAAGATCATCTCAAGATGGTCATTCTTACACAAGCATATTTTGATTGGATCAATTTAAGGCAATAAATTTGAAATCTATTTATGAGTATAATTTTTCATTGTTTCACAATTGATATTTGTGATAAGAATATCATTAATGATATCTTGGAAAAAACCTTCATCATATTTTGGAATAAATTAAGTGAATAGTCACTCACATTTGAAAATTTATTTAGTAATATTATAAATTGTAATTGTTCTAATATTAATATGATAAAATAATATATCTTAAAATATCATTCAAATAGTTTAACTCTCGGAAAATGAAACGAGATAAATGAATTATAACTATTCAAGAATTAGAGGAGTTCAGATTGGATTTTGCCTCAAAATCCTAGGGAGCTAGAGTAAAAAAGTTTTACTACTCTATAATAATCTTTTATCGGGTATAAAATGTGGGTAGTTTAAAAGATCTAAAAAAAATATTATCTAGAAAAAAAGAATAGTGTAACATGTCATCTCATTAAGCGAGAGAAGGATATTTTTATCTGTCAATATATTTTGAGGAAAATAGAAATAACATGGTGATATTATAGTCCTAAAAGGAACAAAAGTAATATACTAGAAAATTTGCTAAACGTGAGTGACTATGTAGAAAAATCACTCTTACATTGCATGTTTTGAATGTGCTTCAATATCAAGAGATGTGATTTTGAAAATATTTTTAATTAGTTTCACATTTTCTTGTAGCTGAATAAAACAATGGGATTATAAATGAAAAATCATGAAAATATACCTACTTGTTTTAGTCATTTTCCTCGAGTGAATTAGACTAACTTTCACCAAGCTAACCGTGAAAAGACTTGTGTTCCCAATTGAGATTATGGCCCTAATAGTGATTATTATTATAGACGAAGGAAGAGCTCTAATTATGATAATCGACTACTTAAATATTATCATTCACTATTAACAATTAAAAAAAAATGGCCTCAACATAATTTACGTGAAATTATTATACGAAAATATAAGTATATAACCCACAAAAAATTATTTATCAGTTTGATGTCAACAATATTTTTGTCCACTTATATAATGATTATTTAAGTTGTATAAAGATTGTATCTGAAATATTTCTAGTTTGAATTTAGGATCGAATAACACACTAATATACCGATACAATGATACAAAGTGATTTGATCACAAATCGTGTGTTTCAACAAGTATAAAAATCTCATCTACCCTGAGTTACAACCAGTAGGAGCAGAGCTTTCTAATCTCTAGAAATTTTACATTAAAACTGCAAATCCAGCAAGATTAATCTAAAGTAACACCAAAAGGCTCAAAAACTGTGTTCTACCTCTGACCAGAAAGAGAATCTGTACACTGGGAAACAAAAGGTAACAATAAAACAGAACCAACCAACGACCTTACATGTAAATCTGGTAAGCAAAGGTTAGCTAACACATGATGCAGGAGCAGTAATCTTGAAATTCGACCTGCAATGATCAGTTACTTCCTTAAGAGTCCACCAAAGAAGAACAACTCTAGGAATCAGCAGTTGTTCATGCTCTTGGTATCAGAAGTCGCAGCAAGATTAATCTAAAGTACCACAAAATGGCTCAAAAACAGTGTTCAACCTCTGGCCAGAAAAGAGAATTTGTACACCGGGAAACGAAAGGAAACAATAAAACAGAACCAACCAACGCCTTATATATAAGTCTGGTAAAAATGATAGCAAACTTGCAGCAAACACACGTTGCAATGTGCAGTAACTTGAAATTTTGACCTGCAACGATCAGTACTTCCTTTGAGCCCACCAAAGAAGAACAACTCTGGGAATCAGCAGTTGCTCATGCTCTTGGCATTCAAAGTTGCAACATACGCTGCAGCTAATAACCAAAATAGCAGTCAACGTTTTTGCTTCTGAGATACAAAACGTATTCCTTGCTTTCCAAGTTCCAAGTTCTTCTTCTTCCCATCATCAAGAGCAACAGACACAACCGATGACCCTTCAAAGACTTCTACGACTGTCCCTCTATGCCTGAAAGAAAATGAATTGAAAGGTCAAACTAGCACACATCAAAGAAAGTATGGTGTACTTATTTATATGAATACTCATCTATTTGATAGATAAAATCCCAAATGAAAATTGTAACTATAGATAATGTGTTCCTTTTTTTTATCCTACTATATCCTTGTATTCCAATGCAATCCACTTGCTCTATTAATTGCCCTTTTCTCATCGCTATCATGATTACTAATCCAGAATATCACAGCACTCATCTCCATTAAAGTTGCATAAATTTTAAGTATGCATAGTAGTCAGCTTGATGTGACAATAAGCTTACCAGGTATTATCAGACGAATGATGAACTTCCACTCTCTTTCCTTTTGCATCTTTTCCCAACTTCTGCAGTATCCAGTTAGCATCCAAGAACTCATCCATTGTATTGTCTTCATACCGCTGTGATGAATTATCATCAGACCTGGTTGATGCTTTTTCTCCAAAGGCTGGTGCTCTCTTTCTCTTAGACCTCTGGCCCTTAACCATGCTTTTATCCTCCTCTCCCGGAGAAGCCCAGGCATTTTGATTTTCATGGTAAGGATTCTTGAACTTGAGCTTTAGCAGAGGTTTTGGATCCTTTCTCGTTGAATTTGATACTGAAGGTGTGCTATTTTTCTCGTCATTCAGGTCATCACAAGAAGCGGGCCCAGCTTCAGCATGTTTTGCAGAAGCCATTTTGTTGTCCCTTGTAGCAGGAACATCAGCTCCAGCCCTTGTAATAACACTACCGTCATTGCTTCTTTTTCCTATTATACCAAAAGTCTTGAGTGGAGGATAAGGTCCAGATCCATCGGCAAAATTTCCACCAACTTTGGCAGGGAAATTAGTACCTTCTGAGCTAACTTTCTTGATCTTTATTAAGTTGCTTTCTTTACCCCTATGATTTTGACCCTTTATTTGGTCCATATGATCCACCTTATGTCCTTCAGACACAGAAACGAGAGCCAAAAGAAAAGTTATTAATAGAACACTAAAAGTATGCTCCTAAAAGCAACAAATACAGCATTATCTTCTTTCCCCACCACCAACATAGAAAGTAAACAATTTACAACACGTCTTACCTTTTCCACCACCAAGTTTAGCTGCAGTGTCATTCCTTTCCGAGTTCTCATTCTCTCTCAGCTGAACTAGATCCTCACTACCTGATTAACAAAGATGTACATCTAAGAATATTTTTTGATAAGATAAACAATTTTATTAGTGTTGGGAAAATCTACCATATACAAGAGGTATACCAAAAAGTAGAGAATCTTACACCATATAAGAACAGAGCATGGAGTATTGAAGCTAATGTAGCATAGAGTATTGAACAGATGCAAGTATTCACACAGAGGAAAGAATCTCAACTAATGTAGCATAGAAATTAGAGAAGAAACACCATAGCAGAACAAGAATTGGAGAATTTAATCAGGCACAGAACAGATCTTTCATTACCAGACCAAAGAAAACTAATTATACATGTCATGTCACCTTTATTGTACTAAATATATATATATATATACATACACACACCTTCCATTTGCTTTACTTTCACAAGAATTTCTCACTTAAGTCAAGAAGAAGCAAAAAAAATAAAAAATAAGAACAAACATCATTTCACATGATTACCAAAGCACACAGTCCTCATATGCCAAATAAGCAACCAATTAACAAAGGAAAGAAGAAGAAATATGCTAAATAAGTTTACATCCATGCTAGTTTTTTATCTAAAACAAAATGCATTGCAAAAACATACATTAGAGATACTTTTGACTTCTACTAACAAAAAGCAACCCAAGAATCATGGTACTGTATGATATTCCTTAGCCAACTTATATGTCTATTCTTTATAACCAAGTATATTAGAAATATTTATGGCTTCTACTAACAAAAAGCAACCCAAGAATCATGGTATTTCATGATATTCCTTAACCAACGTATATGTCCTTCCTTTAAAACAAGAAACCCTCGATGGCCAGTGACATAAGGTTCAAAACTGTGGGGAAAATGAGCACGCCCATCTACTCTTCTTCACTTAAAATAGGCTTTTGTCGACAGCAGGGTTTGAACCCATGAATTGAGCTTAATCCACATATCACGTGATGCGCTCTTAACATTTAAAGCCATAGGGAAACTTATATATGAAGTCTTACCAATTATAGAAGAAAATCACCAAGAAATAATAATGCACAGAGGAAAACTATATACATCTTTCTCACTGGCAGAACCTTTTTATCTGGATGAGACAACAATTTAGAAAACCATAGCTTTTGTGTCATAAGTGACGCAAACTAGTAGAAAAGAATATTTACAGACATCAAATTCTAGGGAGAAGGCATAGTTTGTAGACAAGATTCATCCAAGTAAGAAATTGGAAAGAAAGAGGAACCCGAAGACTATATAGAAAGAAAATTACCATTTGAAGTAGTCAAATCTTGCTCTTTCTGACAGCTTGAAGCATCGGACTTCGGGGAACCTGCTATGTTTTTATTCCGCGAGCCCAAATGTATAACAAGCTTTGGCCCCTTAGAAGTCTTTGGCATGCTTGTTTGAATTCCAACATCATCCTCATCCAAACGCTGAGGCTTGCTACCTTTCATTTGGACTGTCCTCTTACCCGTGTTTCCAGTAACCTCATCTATAAATTTATGCTTTATGACCCCTGCCTGATTAATTGAACATATACCTTCTGTCAAGCTACCAACAGGAGAAGAAAAGCTATCCAATTCCCCATAAGCCTGCAATTCTTCATTCTTGACATCACCAGCACTATATCCACCAGATGGAGCATCAGGGTGTCCTTCATTTGGTCCAGTTAACCCCTTCTTTTTACCATATTTCTTGTAAGAAGATTTCTTTCCATATTCCTTGCTCTTTTTGGGAGATTTGTCAACTAAACCTTTAAGAGAAAACTTCAAAGATCGACTGTGTTCATTTTTTACTACAGGAGTACTATCTTCATCATCTGAAAAGGGTGAAATAGAAAATATTTCATCTTCTACTGGCAACCCAGCTCCTGCCCTCAAACTTGCAATTAAATCCTTATCAGCTACATCTCTCCTCCTCCAAAGCTCCTGAACAGCGTCCTCAAGATTTCTCACCTGAGAACATTAATAGAAAACTATCAGGATAGAGTTCTCGTTTAACTTTTCTAGTGAAATTAATCACCGCCGTAAACAAACCTGATAACTATTTCCGCGGCATGTTGGACAAGCATACGGCAAATTTCCATCCACTTGAAACTGCAAATATTTTTCATCGCTGCAAAGAAAATACCCATTTTCAAATTCAAAGTTCCAATGGAGTCCCTCTCTCAAAGCTTCAGTGGAAGGTACAATCAAGGTTGCATAAGTTAACAGCTTTATATCGCATGAATGACAAGAGAACAAATTGGCAAACCACAAAGATGTCAGGATATTTATATAGTGAAGGGAAGAAGAGGAGCTTTCTGGAAATCAGAACTAGTGCCCAGTCAACTGACTCGACTCTTAACAAGGCAGAATGCAGCATAAACAGCAGCTCCTAAAATGTCGTTCAATCATTCAATGAAACAATGAAAGTCAAGGGGATTGATGAGAATATTCTTGGAAATACTTCCCTTAATTCGAGTTTAAGAGACACAAAAAAAGTCTAAGTTCTTTGTTTCTCTTGTTCAATTAAATTTTATATTTACTCATAGTAATTCATTTCAATAACTATTCCAGGAAAAAAAATCATTTCATTAACAATTCCAGGATATTTTTTTTCGAATTCTTCATTTAAGAGAGAAATTTAAATCTTCTGAATTGCTCCAAAAAAAATTAACTCAAATATAATAAAAGACTTCTCTTCATTAGAATCAAATATAATTGATCCGTCCATTTGCATCTCTTTCCAATTTCCAACAAACAATTCATCTAGTCAATGAAAGATTAACAAGCCGACACATTATGTCATCAGGACTTTTGAAATTTGTGGCCTACCATTTTGTATGACTATAAATCATTTCATTAAGGCTGAAAGGGAAAATTCTAAAGTTAAATTGATTCCAATTATAAAAATTGTGACACGCTTTTAGAGACAAATTAACTTCCTCCACAACTATCAACAAATTATACTATACAAAATGTTCATAATGCCAATTGTATGCCATTGTTTGAAACGATCTGTCATTAGTTAATCAAGATCTTGAAAGGCCCTTGACCCTCCAATGGATAACAGTTCTCCTTGCCAACAATTAACCCTTCTAATGTACTCAGTTGCCATATCTGTGAAGTAATTCTAATCTTTTTCCTACCAAAATAGGACAAATCCTAAATAGTTGAAGGGTAGAGGGCTTCAGTCATAATGCAGCACACGGTAGCTTCGCGTCACTTGCTTTTCGACCAAGCGCGATGACCCATTGTGTGAATTGAAAGTACCTCTCGTGCTAGGTTAAACCTGCCTCCTTGGGACTTAGCTCTAAAAATGAATTCCCAGTTAGCCGATTACCTAGCCCACTGAAGCTTATCCCCTTTAAGCACTCACTTCAACTCATGTAAAACAGACCAGAAGCTTCCACTTTCATATTGAGGAAAGCGCTAGGCACCTCTTAAAAGATCCAACTTCCCCCTTGACAGAGTACAAAAATGTACAGATCCTAAATAATTGAAGGGGACTCTTTTTGTTTAGTATCTAAATAGCTGGAGTTACAAACAGTAGGGGCCCGAGATTGCAAAGCTATCAAATCTCTAGAAAATTTAAATTAAAAGTCTTAATAAAGCAGAAATGCAGCATAAACAGCAGTCCCCAAAATGCCATTCAGTTATTCAATGAAGCAATAAAAGTCAATGGGGAATGATGAGACTACTCTTGGAAACCCTTTCCACATTTTATCATAGCAAAATCTGCTGCAAGAACGCCATAAAAGGTACAGGATACTGTCAATAATAAATTTGTGATATTTAATTCCAGAACAGAAAAGTCTAACGTCATGCACATCCATATTTTCCCCCATATTAAGAAATAAAATTGCACTTCAAGAGAAAGGCACCAAAGCAAAACCAATAAAGTAATAATATTTAAAGCAATATCTAAGGTAAACCTGATGCCATCGCATTGGCAGTGCACCCAGCGCTGGCAAATGTCACAGCAGACCATAGGGGTTGATTCAGAATCTCTATACACCTACAGTATAGAAAACAATTAATTGCATTCCCCATAAAAACATGAGAAGAAAAATACTCAGTTGCTTAGGAAAAGCAATGAAAGCAAAAGACATCACGTAGTACTAGCTGACAAATTTGCTACGAGGCATTAGTAAACCACCATAGTACAAAGAACCTCATTGTAAGATTAAACAAAGAGAATCTCAGATAATAAAAACCGCCATAACATCTACCTTCAAACAAACAGGACAGTAGTTTCCCTTCACAAATAATCTTCCACAGGCATCACAACAAGTGTATCCTAAAAACCACCTGCCAGAGATCAAGATATCAATAGTTCAGAGGCAATAGAAAATGCAATGCCTTAAATGATTTTCATAGGATATGCAAAGCATTAAATAATTTGCATAGGATATGCAATGCCTTAAATGATTTCTATACATCACATGCAGCACACAATATTATTTTATGCTATTGCAATAATTTGTATTTGGAATCTCGAAAAGACATTAGTGTGGAAAATTCACGGTGCTACAGGCAAGCCCAAAACTAGAGAACTGAGTTAAATTGCTTTCAAACCCTTATCAGAATATATAACGTGAACCGGAACTCCTACATGATGTTCCTCTGTGAAGATACAGAAAAAACAACATAGAGAAGTACATGAATAAGCATTTTACTAAAATGGAGTTAATTAGAGTGATCAATTAACATTAATAGCAAAACTTGAATCCAAGAGAATGTCCCACTAGCTGCTCATGGCCCCATACTACATACCTCACGCTCAGTCCGTTTCCTGGAACATTAGAACTACAGCTGTGACACTTCGTGTGTTTGGGGCATAAATAAGGCCCACTGCTGACGTTCTGCACATCCCAAAAACAACTAAGTATAATCTACTTTTATCATTATACAAAACTGAAAGAGTAAGACACGAGAATCAACCTTGTGTGGAGGCTGCATACAGTAACAGTGATAAGCTGCATCACACCTTTTGCAAAACATGAACTTGTTTGGATCTCCAGTTCTTCGACAGCCCTACACCAAATGACCAAACAAGGAGCATACATACAGTCAATATATATGAGCAATATAGTGAGCATAAGAACTGAGAACATGAGTTGAACAATGACTTAGACATCAAATAGCCAAAAATGCAATAATCACAAGAGAATGATCCAGAATGCATGTCCAATTATCAAACAGAAGAGTTGCTTTATGCAAAAGAATATTTTAAAAAAAAAAAAAATGACCAGCCCATAGTTTCATTTATAATCCTACTCGATAGGGACAGTTCCTCACCCGCTACCATACACATGTAACACCAACTGACGCCAACAATGCGCACCTTCCTCGGCACCCTTGAGATCCATATTGCTATATGGAAAAGGTCATCTCCTCCCTAACCAATAGTTTCTCATGAAAGGACTTCACAAAGGACATTCCATTATTTCCAAACCCCACCTCCAAACATTGGAATCAAAGAACATACCATTTCTTCCAACCCCCCCACCTCTCCCTCCAAACATCGAAATTATCAACCGGATTGACTTGTCTATGTAGTAAGGCAAGGATTCTGTATATCCTTAAAATTTCTTTTTCATTTTTCTTCTTCAAAGATGACACTTTCCTTGTATGCAAGTCCCCATCTTCAACTACTTCTAATTTTGAGCTTCTTTTTGCTTCCCTTTCAACTTTATGTATAGTTTCTAAAGCAATTTAATATGAAATTGGATGCTGCAAAATAATTCTTCTTATAGTTGATTAATTCTTTTTATAGTTAATTTATTGAGAATCTAAAATCAATGCTGCTATTGACCATCACTATTCTGTGACCTTGTTGAAATTTATTTTCTTTCTACTTCAGTTTATGTATTGAGTTTATATATAGTCATTGTTGTATAACAGGTACTGAAAATAATGATGTTAATCAGTATTTGATCTTATAAGTACTAAATTCATTTATTTAGGTAATTTCATGTGTTTGATGAATCTAACCAATAGTGACTCATGTCACATTAAATGACTTCTTCTTTTTTTGATAAGGTAACCTTGTATTCACACCAAAAAACCCATCAAGTAAAAACTGATGAGGTGGGATTTACAACCCCAGAGGGCATCCTGATAACCAAAAACCCAAAAAAGAACTTTACAATTGTCCTATGAAGTCCACTAAACTTACTACCTCCCCCACCATATCCTGTTTAAATGACTTCTTTTTAAATAACTATGCCGCCCCGACCAACTTGCACGGACTTCAACTAATTCCACTAGATACCTTCCACCAGCCCACTTACTAGATAACTGTCTAACAACCCAAGAAATCATCTAGTGTCATCAAATAACTTCTCACAACCAGGGATTGGGGTTTCAACATGGGTTTATCATTATAAGCTACTATCGCTTGCAGCTAATTAGCTTTGACATGGTGCTTATCTGAGTTGGGTCCACTTGATCTAGCGGAAAGTAGTCTTACCCTACTTCGTACGGGACAAAGGGTAGTTGATACGGCAAGTGTATGATTAGTGGCTAATGGGATTGCGTATAAGTGGGCCATGGGTCAAATGCTACCTGTTTCGCCATCTCCATTGAATGTTGTACACCATACACATATGGACGGATCCATTTAAGATCATTTACTTAAAAGCAATATCTTTTTCTCAATTGACTGTCCATGCCGACAGAGATGTTGAAAAAAACCTCTTTCCGCCTTTGCCAGGATCTTATTTTTAATCAGTGTACCTTACCCAAGATTTGTGGGTCAAAACTGACATGGGTGACCTATCATAGGGCTAGGCAGCAGGCTAGAACCAAAAATGCCTAAATATGAAAACCTCCGGTTGTTACATATGGCTATTAAAGAAAATTAGGGCATCAGTTAATATCTCTGATTAATTTATTATTTCCATTTTGTTAGGTAATAAAAGTCAATGTCTTGTCGAATTAGCTTTGACCTTCTTATTCTCAAAAAAGAAAAAGAAAGCAACTCATAGTACAATTGCCACGTTTTGGGCATCTATTAAAAAGCAAAACCAACTATGTTTTATCATTTTATTGAAATGAATCAAAAGTTTTACCTCACAAAGCCGGCATGACGGGCATGTCCATGAACTCCAATGGAAGAGATCTGTAGGAAGGGGCATATTAGCAAAAGTACAACACTAAAAACTGACAAATCTTGTGGCCTATAAAAGTACCTCTATGTTGACCCCAAGCTTTCAGGCAGTTTCGGTGATACTTCTTCGCGCAACTTTTGCATGACATCATTTTCCTTGCTCTTTCACCTCCTTCATTTTCACCGGAAAAGCATAACCTACACATCACTTTGACATTCGATAGACCCTGTTCTTCTCCACCAACATCTTTCATGGAGCCCTGAGGGCAGATATTTATTTGTAAATAAAATGATTGAATGGTATCATGTAACAATTTATGATTCCAGCTCCCAGCCTCCACACCCCCAAGAGGAGAAGAAATGAACATCAGTAGAATGAGCAATGAAAAGGGGTTATTACATGTTCAGTAACAGTGCACCTTTAGAATATGAAAATTCTGCTGGTTAGTGATAACATCTATTTGGTTGAATTTGAGGAACGACAAAAGAAACATCCCAACCATTGTTGCGATTTTAAATTCAAATGACTTCTAGACCACTGCTGTTTGGAGCACTAGCAGACCTGTACTTTTACGGGTCACTTGGTTGGCATGCTAGTTATGTGAGGAGGAATTGTTTATATGGTGATTAACAATGATGGGATTGTTAATGCAGTCATTAATAGCAAGAAGATTGTTATACATGAATTACTTACTTTAAAAGGGCATTTTGTATTGGGATGGGTTTAATCCCCACATTGCGAATTTATGTATTCTTATTCCACATTCTATTCCATATAAAATAATAACCGTTTCATACACAACTTAATGCAGGTATTATTTAGGGAAAAAAGAGAAGAGAGGGGGAGAGGGATTCATCACCAATATTTGATTGGATCTCTAATGCCGTCAACCAAACTTTGTATTTGTTATACTTTGATTTACTTTTTTCATGTGGCCAACCAATTAGGGGTTGTTTGGTAGAGTGTATTAACAAAAACAATACATGCATTAGCTCTGTGTATTAGTAATGCTTGTATTAGTTATACACTTCATTGTGTATTAAAGTGTGTATTACTAATACCATGAATTTCTAGGTATTAGTAATGCAAGGGAATAAAATGCATGCATTAGCATGGTTATTGTGGAGGATATCTTTATAAATAAATATTTTTATGCAATGCATGCTATTTTTAGTCCACCAAACCAAACAATGCATAAGAAACATTGTATGTATAATTAATGCAAGCATTACTAATACACTGTATTTAGCACTCATATGCCTTTCGAGGCTTCCCCCTTGTAAATATTCTCAGGTAAGAAAGCAGAACCTCGCATTATTTTTATACACCCTACAAAACGACCCTTTGCTTGATTATGTTATGTGGGGTTTTATGTTGATATTAATGTTAATTATTGCAATACATCAACCACAAAAAACTTAGAACATTATGTCTCAAGTTGTCCACTTCATAGAACATTCTCACACTCTCAAGTCATTAAAGCCAAATAACTTAAATGTACTACTGTGATATAATACAACGTTTTGGAAGGATAGGTGGATGGACAATATCATTTTGATGGAGGAATTCCCAAGTCTCTTTCAAATAGAATGTGAACCAAATTCTTCCATCTCTCAGAATAGAGAAGACAACACCTGGAATGTACTATTAAGGAACTTACAAGACTGGGAAATCAAAGAAGTGGTCAAGTTGTTTTTTAGGCTAGAAGGCCAGGTGATAAATGTCTGGGAAGCAGACAAGTTAAGTGGGGCAGTGACAAGGTAGTAGATACTCGGTGAAAGCAGGCTATGCAATCTCATATGCTCCTAATGAAGTGCTTGATAACTGGCGGCCATGGAAGTTGATATGGAAGACTAAGCTCCTAACAAAGATCATATGCTTCAGTTGGACAACTCTTAATGAAGCTTGCCTCACTCAAGACAACCTTAAGAAAAGGAACTTTCAGATTGCTCTATGAAGAGTTGTTCAACACCCATAAATTACTCAATCCTATAGGAAGCACCATGAAAAATCTTTCTCAATCCTGTAGGAAGCACCATGAAAATTCATTCTCTTTTGAGATAAGATATCAGAACAGGCTAAATATTCTGTTGTATCTTTTCTCCTCCTATAGTGGAATACTATACAAACACTTAAGAGTCTAAAATGTAAATGGAGCTAAATTATCAAGTACCCTAAAATCATTCATACAAACCAGAATATCTATACCTTTGTGGACCACATAAATTATTTTCTCCCTCAACAGAACAAGCCAGCATTAAAATAAATGGAAACACAATAGTCATGGCATACAATCCACATGAAATATAAACAGACAAGTGATCTGAAAACAGATCTTCTCAGCAACCATCTATGTCAGTATCCTGACTATGATAAATAGGACAACAGAGAAGTCAATTGATTTAACAATCACAATTTTCACATTCCACATTCAAATTCATGCAAATCTACGTTTTTTTAGAACTGCAGTTCCTAACCTCCACATCACCAGACTCAAATCGTCTAGCAAAATCCTCAGCCACCATAGATGCAGCAGCAGCTTTCTTCTGCAAAGCAACACGCTTAGTCTGAGCTGAAGCAATAGCAGCCGCCTCCTCACCATCCCCGCCGCTTCCACCACCCCCATCACCTACAGGCGCCTGTGGAGGTGGAGCAACATTAAGCTTGGGCACCTTAACCTGAATTGTAGCAGGTTGTTTGGCCTTAAGACCCCATGGGTCCTTGAGAAACTCCTCAAGCTTAGTCACATCTCCAAAGAACTCATTTTTACCCTTCGGAAACCCATGAGGGCAGAAGCAGATCTTTCGACTGCACCAAAAAATATAAAAACACTCAATTGGGTCAGAAATTCCAAACAAAACAACAAAACACAAACCCAAGAACCCGATTTCACATCCATCGATAAAGAAAGAGAAAGAGAAACCTAACAGATCCTCCTCTACACCAAAAAATCACCAAAACCCACCTCCAGAAACACTCAATAGGTCATAAAAACCCCAGTAAACAACTTAAAACCATAAAACAAAGAACCCATTTGGCATTCTTGGCCTAGACAAGAGAGAGTAAAGAGAAAGAGTGATAATAAAAGAGAGAAAGAGAGAAAAATAAACAAAATTATAATCAAATAATACATAAAAATAAAAGAATGTAGTACCAGGTAATTGGGCAAGCTGTGTGAAAGGCCATACGCGAGATAAAGATTTTTGTGTATTGAGGAATTTTTGAAGAGTTTAAATTGGGGAAAAGCCCTTTTGAGGGAAGAGAGAGAGAGAGAAAGGGGAAGGGGCGTGGCTTATGAGAGTTTGGGGATACACAACTTTTGTTTATAAGATGAGGTAAAATTCAATTTGGCCTATAGAAGTTTTCAAAATGTCAATAAAACCCATGATGATTTGTATAATAAGAGAAGAAACTTCGAGAAAAACACCTACGATTTTTAGAGATAAATTTTAAAAATTTATTTGATCATAAAATTTTGTTTAATTTTTAAAATTTAATACATAAGTTTGTTTATAGAATGAGGCAAAAATTAAATTTTGTCCATGAGAGTTTTCTTTATTAAATCCATAATTGTTTGTATAATAGTTGGAAAAACTCAAAAATGGAAAATTATAAAAAGAGATTAAGAGAAGAAATATTGATAAAAACATCTATGGTCCTTGGGAATAGATTCTGAAGAAGTATTTGATCATAAAATTTTGTATGATTGAAAATTTGGTACAAAAAAATATTTTAAAGCAATTTTGATTCATTGAAAATTTTAAAATGTTAATTGAATTCATACTTGTTTGTATAATAGTGAAAAAAACTCGAAAAAGGAAAAAGATTCAAAAAGAAAATAAGAGAAGAAACCTCGAGGAAAACGCCTATGGTTCTTGAGAATAGATTTTAAAATTTTATTTGACCATAAAATTTTACTTGATTTTAGAATTTTAATTTTTTTTTAAATGTTTATAAAAGTGAGGAAAAATTCAACTTTGGCCCATTAAAGTTTTCAAAATATTAATAAAATCCATGATCCTTTGTATATTAATAGGAAAAACTTTTAAAGGAAAAAGTTCTAAAAATGAAAATAAGATTAGAAATTTCGAGAAAAACGCCTATGGTCCTTGGGATATATTTTAAAAACTTATTTGATGATAAAATTTTACTTGATTTTGAAAATCTAATATATGAGTTTATTTATAATGTAAGGCGAAAATCAAATTTAGCTCATTGAAGTTTCCAATATGTTAATATAATCCATGATTATTATTTGTATAATAGTGAAAAAAACTCAAAAGAGGAAAATAAATAAGAGAAGAAATCTCGAGAAAAACGCCTAATAGTCCTTGAAAATAGTTTTTTAAAATTTATTTGACCATAAAATTTTGTCGGATTTGAAAAATTCATACAAAAATTTATTTGATTTTTTTCATACGCGTTGTTTTTATTGTTATATTTTATTTATTTTTCACGTTAACTTTTGGATTGTATTAATTTCACTAAGAATAGGAATAAGGAGGTAGATAAACACTCATAAACTTAAAGTGCTAAAATAAGTTTGATTGTCAAATTCAAGGGGTATTTTACGTATTTTCTCTAATTTTACTTTAAAAAGGTGAATGACATTGATGTTGATATTTATTTTCTTTGATTTTAGATCAGTATTTGAGTTTATCTGAACGCCAGAAGAAAATGAAAAAAAAAAATTTTAAAAATTCTCATTATGTGTGATTGAATTTTATACAAGATAAATATTTATTAGTTTCTGACACTTCATTTAAAATTAGAAAAGTTTGTTGAATCGTGAGGGGTACACTTTAATCAACAAAATATTCTTATAGATAGTGTTGTGGTCAAACCTTAAAAAAAATTATGTGATTCTTCAAGATTTTACAGCAAGATCGTATAGACATCAAACTTAATTTTATGTAGTCTTATACAATTTGTAAAAATTTGAGAAGTCTAAAATGTAATGTATCATAAATCACACAAATAAATTTGAGTGTATCACAAAAGTCTCTCACAGAAAAAATCTATCAAGTGTAAAATTTGATATTTAATTGAAAAATATTCATTGAAAGTGAACATAAATTAATGAAGTAAGGACGAGTTCAAATCAATTGCTATGTAGGAAATATCTTTTTAACTAGGTTTGATTCAACACCATTAAATGATTCATGACACGATCTTTTAAAATATATTCGTTTATTTGTATATATTGATATTGATCTTAAATATGTTGTAGTGTCTTATGTAAGTTAATTTATGTCATTTGATTATTACATGAATTAAAAAGATCACGAGAAAATGAGATTAAAATATATAAATGTTAAATCATTGTAAAAGCGCGTTTCAAAAGTTTGAAACATTTGATTCTATCTTTCACTCATTGTTTCTTCTATAACTAACAGGTTTTGTATTTTAAATCTTGGCGGTTGTCTTAAAGTTGAGGAGATGAGAAAGGACCTGGTCATATATTTATAGGCATCAAGCCTTAATTCAATTGGTCTCCTCATAACAAACTTTACTAGGTTTTCGACCTGACTTATACTACTGTCAACACTTACCAATACGAAAAAAATTAGCATAGCATAACAACTTATAGATTTAACTTGCAAAATGTACATCACTTTTATTTTTTTGGCAAAAAAAACAATAACATTTTATTTGGTATTCAAAAGCCACGTTTATTTTTCTTAAAAAGTGGATTTTCTTTTTAAAATTTTCTCTTTATAGACAAATTATTTTATTTATTGTAAAGAAAAATTAAATGTATACATTTTCAAATTGAATGTATACGTAGTTGAAAGTATGTATACTAACATGATTTTATGTATTTAAATATTTATCGAAAATTAATATATCCATACATATCAATAGCTGCAAAATATACTTATGTATACTAATAGTGTATACAAACAAAATATAATTAAGGTATACAATTTATTTTCAATAGATTTCAATGTTCACCACATACTAAATGTATATATAAACTTATATTGGACGTCTAATACTAAGTTTGGAGAATTGCAAGTGGATACACAAACATAATATGAAAATAAATTGTGTATACATTATAATGCAAACATCCAATTGATCAAATATATTTAACTGAATATACGAACAAATCTATAGTTATATTTACATTAAACAGATGTATATTATAGTCCATATTTAATATAACATATAAAACACATTTACATACATTTAATAATTAGTACATATTAATTGAGGATTAAAAATATTTTTTATGCCTTAAAAGTAATTACAACCTTTTTCAGTTAATTACCAGATTTAAAAAAATCCTTCCTTAAAAGTTAAAAGTGGTTCTAGCATCTGTTAATGTATTAATTAAGGAATAATTTATATTTTTCATTCCTTAAAGTAGCAGCAGTTATTTCCGATTACTTTGTGTCAATACTTTGATTCAATAAATCAATGTAATTCTCGTTCAAACTCTGTTCAAGCGGTATTGTCATCTTCGCTAAAAACAAAAATGCTAAAATAAAAATTGCTATATATAGTTCCTGAAAATTTGAAATCTTAAATTGAAAGCAAAAATCTTGAGGGTCGTCTGAAGCATGATGTCTGACGCATTCGTCAAAGCTCTCCTTTTGCAACACTTAGCTCCATTTCACTTTATTTCTCACATTAACTGAATTTTCATCTAACAAAGTAGAAAAACTATCAAAAGACATTTGTTGTTGCTTAAGAACTCACAATTATTCCTAAAATAAAAGCATCAAACGTGTCGTCAAATACCGGGACATCAACGAATTGAAAACTGAACCACATTGCAAACTGAGTCAAATCGTAAAAAAAAAACCTTACTAATGATTTGGTTTGACTTGCTTTGGTATTGAAAAAAAATCCAACTTTACTTGGGTCAGTTTGGTTTTAACTGAAAAAAGTCAACCCGAGACCAAACCAACCCGACATTATATATATAATTTTAAAAATATATTTTATACATAAAAGTATTTACTTTAATAATAATTTCAATTTTTTTTTTATACTTTTTCATATTTTTTATCTTTTAACATATTATTTCTAATATTTGAGACTTATAATATTGAATAGTTCAATAAAGGCTATAGTCCAAAGATATTAATAACTCAAATCAAAATCAAGTCACTATGAGCGCTACCAAAAAAAAAATTAATTCAACCCTAAGAATGACAATAATGTTGAATATTTGTTCTTTAGTTTTACATTGATTTAGACATTTAAAATACATAACCTAATTTTATTTGTTCTTTAATGTTTAATCATGTGATTAATACTTATTATACTTATTTTAGCACAATTTAGTATTTCTAAATTATAATCATTTTCATTGTGACTTATTAATTTGCAATATTTATTTCATTCGATTTCATTATTATTTTTTGTTGAATATTTTAGTGTCATCACTCTCTCATATTTTGTGTTATTTTCTTATGAAACACCTTAGAATGTTGTATTTTAGTAGGACTGGATAAATATTTGGAGCACAAGTTAATTATATGTTTGTATGAATACAATCCGAGGTTGAACAACCCGAATTTTATTAGTTTGATTTGATTTATAAATTTAAAAATCAAATACGAATGATTTGATTTGATACTTGAAAAATCTGAATCAATCCAATCAGGTATACCCACACTTTATGGTATAATCTTTCTTTATTGATCAAGTTAAATAATACAAACATTTTACATGTATTTGTTATCGTGCTTAAAAGATTCAACATAAAATTCATTAATAGGCATAATATTAAATAGATCATTACTTGACGATTAAAAAAATATTAACATCGAGGAGTAAAATAATTACATGAAATTTGTAGCACATATTAAAGCTCACCACTATATATAACAAGTACACAAATAAGTCATAACAATTCTAAATCAATAATAACATATTAGGAAAAGGCAACAACTCATGATCACAATATAATAAAGCATAACATAGGTTGATAGTACCACCTACCACAATACAATGATTAGATTACTTGCATGATTACCACCAAAACATGTGGTACACAAGTTGCTTCTCCATTAATTAATAATTTCCATATAATTTATATGCCGTTTGGTAAATAGATAGGAAATAGGTTATTAATGTTTAAAATTACTACAATTTTTGGTTAATAGTTAGAAATCTGCATATCTAATATGTATATAAGTTATATTATGAGGGAACTTATGCCTTATTTTATGTAGAATAGGAGGTGAAATAACTGAAACATGAATAATAATACATAGATGCACTCATATACAATTGATCTCTATATTACTAATACATGCATAATTCTAAC